GCCGGAACGTGCCGGAGCCGGCGGCGGGAGCCAAGCGCAGAGCGGGCAGGTGGGTCTCCAGGGCACCATCTGTGCGGCCGCGGCGAGGGAGCAGCGCGGGAGGAAGGAGCGCGCCCGAGCGGGGGCCGCGGCGCGGGCAGAAAGGGGTTTTGCAGCCAAAGCCATAAAAATATCAGGGATCCGGATGCTTTTCCTGGTGTTTTCCAAGTGGCAGCCGGCACTGGCGGGTGGCACCACTTTGCTGGGTGCCCCCTGGCACTGGCAGTGCCCGTCGCAGGTCGCCTGCTCCCGGGGCCGGCAGTGGTGGTATCAGGCCTGTTCCCACACGGAGCAGCGAACGGCAGAACGAGGGGGACAAGCGGAGGGATGCGGTGACCTCCTAGCGAGGCTCCGGGTGACGATGCTGGTGCGAAGACGCTGGTGGCCCGGCCTCCATCCTGGGGACACTGCAGGGGACGCACGGGTGACATCCTGGGGACCCTGCAGCCGGACCCGCTTTGCTTGACTGACCGCCAGGGCACCGGCCGTGGCCGAGCTCTCGTTTCCACTCGAACTTTCCCAGCACAAGTTTTTAATTTGTTTCTTTTTTCCCCTTTTTTCTTTCTTTTCTTCTTCTTTTCTTCCACGCTGGCAGGGCAGCACTGCCCGGCACTGGGATGAACCTGGAGCCATTCCGATTTTGCCCATGCTCCTACCCCAGTGCATCCCGGTTAAAAACAGCACCCGCTCCCTCCGCAGGCTCCAGGGAGCTGGTGGGGTCGGAAAGAGCAGGATCCCCCTGGGATGCTTAATGCAAGCACCAACATATCCCGCGCGCCAACGGGGATGGTGGCAGTGCTGGCATCACCCCCGCGGTGACATCCACACCGAGTCGCTCCGGGGCTGCCGTTTCTTGAATAGGGACAGAAAAGTGCAAAAAGCAGGATCAGGGATGGGGGTTTGGGAGCACCCATACCTGGATGCAAATGGATTGCTGAGAGCTTGGAAATGCAGAAACGCTCATTGGATACCGGATGTTATTTGCAATATGTGTTAAAATACCAAAGTGCCCTGAAATGAGTCTGGCTACGTAAAAACAAGCAAACAAACAAACAAAAAAATCCATTTTTTTTCCAGCTGCCTGAATCAAACAAAATTGTTGAATCCCCCCAAAAGGGCATTTAAAGAAGTGATTTCCCCACCCCAAGCCAACACAGATTTCGTTCAGAGCGGGTTCAATTTTGGCTGCAAAATGATGCACTTCAGACCAAAGCCGTTCTGACAAATTCCCCCGCCTCCTTCCGATACTTTATTTTGGAAAGGACCCAGGGAAGAGCTCACTCTTCTTCGCGGCCATGTCCCCCTGCCCCGGTCCGTCACACTCGCCTGAGTCACTGTGGGTCCCTCTGAATAGATGTTTTTCAGGAGAAAAGGACGGCCCGGGAGCAGCCGGACTCGCAGCTCCGGTAATAAGGACACGCAGGAGGAACGTTTTCCAAGAAACCAGTGTCCCATGCCACTCCAGCAATGGGGAAAAAGAGGGGTTTAGGCAAAATGAGGGTGGCTGTGGGTGAATGCAGGAGCAGCCGAGCTGCGGAAGGAGCTGAGTGACGTTGTTCCATTGGCAATGGTCAGTCCTTGGATTTAAAGGATCCGGTGCATCCAAAGGGTGCCAGCGCATGCCAGGAATGGAAAACTGCCTTTCCTGAACCCGCCTGCCCGTGGGGTTGTGCAGAGGGGCCAAGGAGAGGCATTTTGTGCAGGGCTTGGAGGAGAAGCCGGGGATCCCTGCGAGCCTGGACCCGTGTGGGGAAGCGGCAGGACAGCGAGGCCGGCGCGGAGCTCTCAGCTCTGGGGGGCTCCGTGCTTGGACATTAAAGTGTAGAAATGTGCAAGCTGAAATGAAGCCCCCATTGGCCCTTTGGGATACGGGATGCTGCCAGCAGATCCCAATCAATCTCTTCATCCTGGATGAGGGTAACTTGTGTCACACCCCCCCCTCAGGTTTCTTGCATCTCAGAAAACGAAGGCAGAGAGATGTGGAGCAGAGGGCTCGGTGGGTAGGAATAGGGATTGTGGCTGGTTCTGGTGGTGTCTCCAGGTCTAAGGAAGCTGGAGGGAAGGGGGATGTCCTGGCTGTCCCTTCTGGAGATCAGCAGCCAAGGTGGGTGGCAGGGAGGGATTTCCTTCCTGTGGGAAGGGGACAGAGATGGCCAGCTGGCAGACGGAGCTGTTTTTTGGGGAACCCAGCGCTCCTTGATGTTTGGATCCACTGCATATTGGAGCAGGGACTGAGGCAGGGGTGCCTGGCTGTTCTCTGAGCCTGTGTCCCAGTGCTAGCTGCTGTCCCGGGACTTATTTTATACTGCTCTCCAGGCTTTTATTTTATTTTTTTCAGCTTTGTTTCCTACCAAATTCTGAGCCTGCTGTGCCCCTGTTAACCATGTCTGACCGAGCAGTATTTTTGTGACATTCATCCCTGCTGAAGCTGCACAGAAAGGAGTCCTGGCTGGGGGACACGGCTCAGCGACAGCCGGTGTCCGTGCAGGCAGGAGCAGGGAGCTCGGGAGTGTGGCCTGAGTGAGGATGTCCAGGGTGAGGGCAGGGGCTTATGATGGCCTGTGGGAAACCCTTTTGCTCCAAGGCAGCTGGAGATGTTTTTTGACCCTGAGTCTTGTGAGTGGGATGGGATATCTTTTATCTAATGGCAAGGATGGAGCTGGAGAGACTGGAGACAAGGAAGTGGCTGAAGTCTGTCCTCAAGGCACCGTGTTGGGACAGGGGGGTCTCCTTGGGGCAAAACACCTTGTTTTCACTAAGCTGTGTAAGAAACCAAACTTGGCCTCTGTCTTTGGACAAGCACTTGGCACTTTCCTTCTAACCTTTCTGTTCCTGCACAGGCTGCTGCCTGCCACCATCTTCTCCACCACCATGTGAGCCCTTCAAGAGTCCTCTTCTCTTTGGAGTCCCTTATGGTCACCTTTAGAGGCATGGGGAGACTCTTTGGCATGGAGAGACTCTCTTCTTCTGGCTCTAATGACGCTTCTCTCTTTCTGTCTCACGGGCTGGTGCTCGTGGCATGGTTGAGACCTCTCCCTCCTTGGCCTGGGAGCCGTAACCCTTGGTGCCACCAGCAGCCCCGGCGGGTTTGCTGCCTAAAACCACTCTGGTAGACTACAGGTGGCTGGGGAAGCGCAGGAACGTGCAGGCGAAGCGGAGAGACAGCCCCGAGCGTAATAAATAGCAGCCGCCGCACACCACCTGCCCACCAGCACCATCAGCTGCTTCGTGGGCACCAGCGCAGAGAGGAGCCTGGAGGAGATGTTTGGAAAGGGGCTCGCCGGCTGCTCTAAGCAGTTTTTTTTCACCTTGAAAAGGGTTTAGGAGAGTGAAAACCTGATGGCAGGAAACGCAAAGTCTAGGGATGCTGTCTGCATGTCCCAATCTGCTCATCTGAAGGTTTCCCAGCGACATGTGGGGGTCAGTGGCTATTTTTATGCCACCATAAATAGGGTAAATGGGGAACAGAGGATTAGCATGAGGCTGGATAAGGAAGTGAGCAGCGTGCGGGGGTCCCTGCTCCTGGGCACAAGGCGGGAAGGAAAGGTCTGGGCTTGAAGATCTCCTCCTGCCCTGCTTGGTTTGCAGGGCTCGGGGCAGCAGGAGGGCAGGACAGGGCGATAGCGGCAGCTTTTCCGCTGCACAGAGCAGCTTACCAGTGACCGCTGTGGTTTACACCTTAATTATTTCCTTTGGCTCTGCTGCTGGTAAAGGTTGTGTCCTTAAAGTTGTTAAAAGGGCAGAAGGGGGAGAGGAAAACCAATTCTGACATCCTGTCCATTTGGTCCAGATGTCGCTCACGGAATACAAATTAGCGGGTGCAGAATGGAATCGCTTAAAAAGAAATTTAATGAGATTGGTGTTCAGGCATCTGTTTTCTATCAATCATAATTTTGTGTGATATTCAATGGCAAATATCATATTTTTAATGACTTGAATGCGGGGGGGAGGGAGGAGCCCAATGCATGCACGCAATAAAATTCTGGAGCCTGACATGCCTAAGCTCTGCAAAAACCTTCTGCAGATGGAAGGGGGGAACCCAACAACAAGCACCTCTAATTCACTGTTGTTTAAGTTATTTTATTTCTTCCTCCTCCTTTTTTTTTGTTGTTATTTTTTTATTTTTTCCCCCTTTCCTCTGGCTATATTTAACCTCTGTGTTAAATTAATCTTCTGTGTTTACTCGCAGCTACCACCGAGCTGGTCTCATTCCTTTTTTTGTCAGCTCAAATATTTCCTGCAGGCCCAGGCCAGGAGCTCTTGCTGCAAGTGCTTGACTTTATCCCTCGGAGGAGGAGGCACTAACCAGGGCTGGCTCTGGGCCCCTAGCTGGCCACCGGCTTCCGTCTTGACCGTAGTGAGTTGTTTTTGGCTCCTCTCACTTTCAGTTTGCACTGAAACCACCTGCAAACCAGGCTAAAACACTTGCTCAGCGAAATGTGGGACAACGTTGCGCCTCTGCTCCTCATCGAGCACGTGTCACCTTCTGCCTGTTATCAGGATGCGGGATGGAGATGTGGGCCTGGATTTTGCTGCTGTTGTGGAGTCCCGGCACCGTTTGTGGAGCCCCAGTGAAGGGGACAAGATAGTGCGAGTCAGATTGAGGTTTTCTCGGGCTCTTCCCTTTGCTCTTCACAACATCAAACCCTTGAGTTGGACTCGAGGGAGGGTTTTCAGGGATGTTTTTGGTGGCAAACAGGGACTGGAGGCTCTGGCATATAGACACATATGCTTGCCCCAGGGTATCCTTTAGGTGGTCCCACTTTTATCCCAAATATGGGGAAAGTGGGCTGGCTCACTGGGGAGAAGTCACCCAAAGGGGTCTAAGGCCAGAGCTTAGATGTTACCTTGGGAGGGTGACAGCGGATGGTGCAGGAGAGAGGGAGGAAGGCATGGGGAAAGGGGCTCCTGGAGGAAGGCAGGATGGGGGAAAGAGGGTCCTGTTAAAATGCAGAAGAACATCTACCCATTTGCTAGGAAATGGTCAGAGCAGTCCCCCTGCATCCCAGGAATGGGATGTCGACACCGACTGCCCCACGTGTGGCTCGTGGAGCTGGTGGCTGTGCATGGCACCATGGGGACTGGCATCGCGACCGCCTCGTGCTCCGGCGGCCGTTCCCCCATCTCTGCCAGCTCCAAACTGAAGGAGACAGACTGAAAATCTCAGCGGCGACAGGAGCCGGCGGGGATCCGGGCCGGGGAAATGTCTCCTGACAGGGAACAGCTGTGGCAGGAGGAGCTTCTCTGTGCTCTGCCTGGGGGAGGTTGTGCAATAACAGGAGCAATTTTGTCATGGCCCCCCCTTGGGTTTTAAAAGCAGCACCTTGTCCCCCTCCTCTCCACCTTCCTGCCTCCCCCAGCCTTTCCGCTGCGCACCCTTCACACCTCCAAAACCTATTTTGGGCCCTCTGATGAATCCCAGATGTCTTGGGGAAATAACAGAAGTGCCGGTATCTTCCACTCGCTGCTTCACGTTGCTCTTGGCAATGCCCCCGATCTTTTGCAGCCAACAGAGCGGGGGAAGGAAAGGGAGCGGGGGGGAGGCAGGGAATAACGAAGTGGTAAATGAGCCGCATCCCCAAATTGCGGTCGCCCCTGGACCAGCGAGGGGGATGTCGCCGGTGCAGGAGGGAGCAAAGGATGGTCGGGAGCAGGCTGGAAAACGCTGGCGTGGATTGGGGTGGTGCCTGGGGAGGGGATGTCGGCAGCCGGGGCAGGAGGAGGCAGATGGAGGTGTCGGTCGGGGGCTGAGGACGGAGCAGGCGCGGAGGGACGGCCCCGCAGCCGGCTGCCACCTCGGAGGCGCCTGCTGCTGGCTCCCCTCCAGCGCGAGGAGGCAGCTGGAGGCAGGGGGAGCCCGGCTGCTCCGGCGCCCGGGCCTGGCGTCGGGAGAGCCACGGGCAGGAGGAGGGAGCGAATCTGCTGCCGCTCGCTCTGGTGCAAGGGGGCGGCTGAAGGCACTGAGGCCCTGGTGCTGGCAGTGAACAGCCGCATGCTGGGGCTCGTGAGGGGGATGCGCAGGGCTGCTCGCTCGGGCCTTGCTCCATCAGCCCGGGATGCAGCTTTCTCCTGCTGCAGGTGCGTTGCCGGGGCCTGGCTCTTCAGGGGCTCCCAGCCCTGTTCCTGCCTCCACTGGGCCCAGCGGTGTTGAGTTGGGTTGATCGCATCCCGCGGCAATGAGGTTCCTCAGGGCAGGAAGGTTTTGGGTGCCAAGCACCTCTGCTCGCTGTGCCCAAGGGAAGAGGCTCCTGGCACAGAGCAGCTGCGATGGGAGCTCAGCCCCACGGGGGGACCTCGCGCTCCGAGCCCTGGCCGAGATCCCCGCGTGGGCCAAACCTGGGACAGCCCGGAGGCCGCTGGACCGCGGAGCGAGCGCTCTAGGGAGGCAGCACCGCTGCGACGCGTCGGGCTGAGAAGCTGTGGTGGGTCTGGGTGAAGAGGTGGGGAGAGGCTGGCTCAGGTGGAGCAGGCGACTGGCATGCTTGTCCCCATGGCCAGAGGTGACCTTCTGGTATGTGTGAACGCATCTGGCACACCAGTCATGGGATGTGCTGCTGAATGTAATGACAAAGAACACGGTCCTACTTCTGCTGTGAAAATCCATCTCGGAGACCCCTCGAGTAGAGAGGAAAAAAGGCAACAACCTTCTGACTTTTAGGCAACTCAACCCTGTAGTTCCGAGGAATTCAATGAGAAATCCAGCTCTGGCTGTGTTCGACTGCAGTGGGGTAGTTTCCAGCTCCTCCAGCTCCTGCTTTGCTTTCGCCTCTCGCTGCCCCTTCATTCTGGGTTGTACTCGGTGTCTTCTCTTTCTCTGAAGGTTTTTTGTGAACTTCCCCTCGGCCAAGCAGTACTTCAGCCAGTTCAAGAACATGGAGGACCCGCTGGAGATGGAGAGGAGCTTGCAGCTGCGTAAGCATGCCCAGCGGGTCATGGGTGCCATTAACACCGTGGTGGAGAACCTCAGCGACCCAGAGAAGGTCTCCTCCATCCTGGCCCTCGTGGGCAAGGCCCATGCCCTCAAGCACAAAGTGGAGCCCATCTACTTTAAGGTAAAGAATGGAAGCAAAATAAATAAATCTTTGAGATGCTTTTATGATGGAAGGGACTTTAAAAAGTGTCAGAACTAGGGGAAATGCTTGAGAATGCAAACAGGGACCTGTCTGTGTCCCAGCCTCCCATGGTCTCCCCAGGTGAGCTGATGTTCTCTCTCCTGTGGGAGGTGAGATGTCTGTCTGTCCTAGAATCATAGAGTCATTATGGTTGGAAACTTCAAGATGAAATCCAACCGTAAGCCCTTCGACAACACGCCTGTTAAACCATGTCCCTGTGTGCCTCATCTACCTGTTTCTTGAACACTGCCAGGGATGGTGACACAAGGATGGACACAGAGTTGCAGTTTCCAGAGTTCAATACCAGAATTGATCTTTGTTTTGTGTTTTTTATAGGCTAAAGAGCTAAATTCGTTATTACTTGCTCCTTGGTGAGTTCACTAACCTCATGCTCTACCTCTCCAGAAACTCACTGGTGTCATGTTGGAGGTCATTGCCGAAGAGTACGCTGACAGCTTTACCCCGGAGATGCACACTGCTTGGACCAAGATGAAAACCCTCATCTACACCCATGTGACGGCGGCCTACAAGGAGGTGGGCTGGGCGCAGTACCCAAACGCCACCCTGTGAGCAGACGGCGGGGACGGGCGAGGGGCAGGGAGGGATGCGCTCGCACCAGGACTTCTCTCTGGTCTCTTCTTCTCAAGGTCTCCGCTTGGTCTGGAGAATCCGCTGGGGCCAGCTCTGTTAGCTGCCAAGTCAAAATTTGATCTCCATGGGGTTAAAAAAACAAAACAAGCCAAAAATATATATATATATATACACACACACACACACACCATAAAAAGGGTGTAGGTGGGTCAGGGTGAAGCAGGGGATGTTGGAAGAGGAGAGAACTGACTGTTGGCTCTGCCTTGCAGCCCTGGCCTTCCCCAGCCCCGCGCATCGCTTGTGCCGCCTCCGAGATCCCCGCTTGCACCCACCCTGCCGCAGGGTCATGAACAAAACGGCCCCTGTTTGCTGGGAGAAGGCCCAGGGTGACCCTGGCCCCTCGCTTTCGGGGCTGCCGTGCTTGTGGGTGCTCCCCTGGGCAGTGCAAGCGCTTTGCTTCGCCCGCCCTTTCTGCTCTCGCCCCCCAGGGTGGCAGCCCTGGCTGCACGTCACTGTCCCGCGCCCCAGCAGCAGCACCCATCTCTCCTCGTCCTCTCCGGTGCGAGCCACGCTGTCCCGGCCATGGCAGGAGCAAGGGGACAGGAGAGAGGTGTCACCTACAGCATGAGAGCAGGGAAGGAGGGGACCGACTGCAGCAGCTGCCCCTCGCAGCCCGCAGCTCCCCAGGGTCCCCAGGGCTGGCAGCCACTGCACCAGCCGCAGGTCCAGGAGCTTGGGCTGCTGCCTGCTGCTCCAGGAGCTGGCGCCAGGATGCCCGGGAGGAGGAGGAGGATGATGCAGGGAGGCAGAGCCGGGTGCTCTGCCAGGAGGGAAGCTCAGGCTGGGCTCCAAAGCGGGGAAAGATGAAGTGAGTGTAGCTGGACAGACGTCTGGGTGTGATGAAAGGTCGCTACGCTTTGCTAAAATAAATAAATCCCTTCTATGCAGAATATATTCTTGCCCTGATGAAACTGGGTTCTTTCAAATAAAGTGCCTGGTAGAAGTCTTTCCATGCAGGATGCGGTGCTCATCCTTGTGGATCATCAATCCTGCTGCCTGGCCCTGGCGAAGGATCCCGTGGCTGTGGTGGGACGTGGATGCAGTGGGAGCAGAGCGCTCACACGCTCCTCCTGCCTCCAACACCGGCTATTCCTGGAGCTTTGGGCAAGTCTGTTGATTTTTTGCTGTCTCAGTTTCCCCTCATTTCTGCTTGGTGAGGCCTTGGCATAGGTGGCTTTGGTGTGGGGGAGCCCTCTGGGCAACCTCAGGCCAAATGACCTGATTGGAAGTTGCAGGTAGCCCAGTGTCTGTCACCCAGACGAGGGCAGGCAGGGACAGTGACTCCCTTCTCTGTCTGACTCATTCTTCCAGCTACACTCCTTTGCCCCAACTCTTTCCTCTCTGGCTTTCTCATCTTCTCCCTCTTAATTTCCATCAATTTTACTTGACGGACAGGTTTCTCCCACCTAAGTCTCCCCTTTCCATGAGCTGGCAGGATGGGGGACCTCTAAGGTGGCCCGAAACACCTTCGGTGCCATCTCCTGCTTGTATCAGTGCCCAACAAGCAAGGGGGAGCCCTGGGCTTCTTCAGCCAAGAATCTGCTTTGAGTAGGGACCATGTTGGCTTCTTACTTCAAGTGCTGTGAGGATCCAGGTCTTGCCCTATCTTACCCCGTCTGCCACTTGAGCAGTTGTTTCTCCTCTTCGTCACCCTCTATTTTGCCTTCAAAGCCAGTATGACCACTGTGTGCCTCTGCCCTAGCCCCAGCGTGAGCTGCTGCTTGGAGGCTCTATGAGTTTTGCCAGGCTCCCACTTCCTGCTCTGGCCATGCAGCCCTTCATTCCCCTGCCTGGGGCCGGATGCTCTGGAGCAGGCACATTCCCTCCTGTCTCTTCACCAGGAACCAGCTAGGAACCTTGTTGGTGTAGCTCGGATGTAACCAGTGGGAATAGTGGGTACAGCAAAAGGGTTGCAGGGAAGGAAGGGATGGATGCGCAGGGTGGGTGCGTTACAGAGCCTCAGCATCCCCTGAAACCGAGCCCTGATAAATCCTTGATTAGGTTCCTGATGAGTGGCTGTCAGCTCTCTGCCTGCTCCCTTGGCATCTGCACCCATGGGCGCCAAAACATTGGGGTCAACGGGGTGTCTTTTTGAGGGCTGCAGATATGTGCCCTAGTTCTGACCTGTCCCATCATTTTTGGGCTTATTTTTTTGCCTCTCTGGAGACGCTGGTGCTCCCAAGCGCCCACCCCAGCGTGCGGCGTGACCGTGCGTGTCTGTGTGCACACACATGCGCGGGTGTTGGGCTTGTTTTTTTCCAGGCATAGTTTTCTAAATCACATCCAGCTGTGTGCAGCTGCTGTCCCTCAAGGATCCCCTCCGCCAGCCACATTGCAAACAGAATCGTGTTTATTTTTCCCGGTTCTGGAGGAAGCGGGGAGGGTGGCCAGGGGGGAGCTGGCTCGGGGACCAGGCAGAGATGAAGCGAACGCCCCCTCCGCGCCACCCCCAGCGCAGAGCAGGCAGAGCTTCCAGTGGGAATGAGCGGAAAAAAAGGAAAACCACCGTTCCCGCTGCATCAGCGCGACGGGTTTGGATGCGCCCGGGTGTCCTCAGGGTGGGCCCCGGCTCCCTCAAGGGCCCCCCGCTTGGATTGCCCATCCGGAGGTCACCGTCATCGGAGGGCCGACCTCGGCACTTGAGGGGATGAAGCCCTCGTTACGGGCTGAGGCAAAGGCCCATCCTTGCTGCATCCTCATGCTTACAGCTAGCACCTAAAATATATATATATATATCTCCACACACACATATGCGCCTAGAGAAATGCTCTGAAACCACCAGAGACATTTAGACAAGGAGCCCTTAGGGACCTTGCACCACCTCCATCGCCTTCGCTTCCCGCAATCCCCAAAGGGTCCCCACCGAGCCGGTAAGGGGATCCTGGCGTCCCCGCACTCCCGGGGCCACCTGCACCCATCGCTTGGGGACCAGACGTCGCCGCGCACCCGGGCCAGCGCTCCGACGTCCCTGTCCCCAGCGGCAGGACACGGCCCCGGCGCCCTGCGGTCACACGGGGGCTGCTTGGGGCCAGCGCCAGCAGCGAGGCAGATGCTTGCGAGAAAGGAGGGGGAAAACACATATATATTAACTAGCTTGGACCAACTTAGTAGAAAGAGAGGGATACAATTCCCCGCGTGGGCCTGACCTATTTAACAGACTGTAACGCTAACTATTTTCCATAGCTGACGTTGTCTCTAACTGTTTGTACGTCTCCAGCCGGTCCCACTTCGCTCCGTGTCTTTGCCGTGAGCGGTTCTGCTGCGGGTGCTGTTTGTGTGCGTGTTCCTCCGTGCTTCCGTGCTGGTTTCCTACATGCCGTCTAGTGTACGATGGATGTAACTGTTTTGTTTGGGATTTTCTGGGGTTTTTGTTTATTTGTTCATTTTTTTCCTTTTTGTAGGTTTTTAGTATGTTTGTAACCAGGCAGAATGGTGTTATTAAACTGAAACTTGTATCTTCAGTGGATAAATCGCTCAAACTGCTGGCTCTCTCCCTGGTTTCTTTTGTGCTGGGAGTCCATTGCGTGGCGGGGGGCACCGTGGGTTGGGGGTGAGGAGGGTCCTCTGGGCTCGGTGTCACCCCTGCCTGGGAGCCCGGGTGTCCCCGGGTACTCGCTGGTGCCAGAGGGCCCCAACTGAGCCCAGGCTGGACCTACGTGATCCCCCCACCCGGCCTGGGGGCAGCGCTGGGACTGAAGCCTGGAGCCGTAACCACCACAACACGCAGCACCCGTGACCTCCACGGACAAGGAGATGGTTCCCAGCCTCTAAAAACAACGAGTAGTTACCCGAGCAGCGGCAGCAGCCGAGTTCTCTGTGGCTTTGTCCCCTGCGGCTCCTCCCGTGGCTGATGCTGTGGTTGGATCCTGCGGCAGAGGTTGGGTCCCAGCATGGCTGGGTTGTGTTGCGCGTCCCCTCGGTGGGTCCCTCTGCTCCTTGCTTCCCCGCGTAGGGATGTGTCGGAGACCTCCATCAAATCTGGGAGATGCTGCCAGAGGACCAAGGGACAGAAGGATGGTCGGATGCTTGTTGTGGTCCCCTAAGCCTCATTTCCTCGGGATGGAGACCACCTGCAGCCAGCCAGGAACAGTTTTAATGGGAGAATCCAGGTGCAAGGCCTGAGTTTGCCATGTGGGTAAGGGGCACGGAAGCCAGGAAGTGGCATAGCCACAGCAAGCAGCGCCAGCCACGGCCAAAACACCATGCAGGGAAGGGAACCAAAAGCCCGACCATCTAGAGAGGGCAGCGAGGGCCTGGTTTAGTCCGTCTGCTACGCCTTTTTTGGGAAAATCTTTTGGTGCCGCTGATGAGATTAATAAACCGTCCTTGGAGTCTCCACCACATCCTGTAAATACTTCCAGGCGGAAGCGAATGGTCAGCAGGGCCCGCACGCTGCTATGCTCCAGATGTGAAACCTTGGCTTGGAAACCAGGAGCAAAAGGACCGGCGAGCTCAGGGGAGCTTGCGGTGGGGCCAAGAAGCCCTCAGCCCTTAGCGTGCTGGCCTGAGAGTCCCCCAGGCCAGAGCTGGCTGGAAATCATCAATGTGGGGTTGTTTTCCCGGCAGCTTGGTAAAAAAGAGCTGGGAATTTCTGCAGGGAGTGGGCTGCAAAGAGATCTTTAAATAAATAGTGGGACAAATAGTGCCCTTTCTGCGGAGCGCGTTGGTGGGGATGGTGCCGGGGTATTGCTGGAAGGAGCTGGACTAGAGGTGAGCGGGTCCCAAAGCGCAGTTAGGAGCATGGCTCTGAGTTTGCCCGAATCACCCTAAAATCGCCCCATATTCTGGGCTAAGGGAGTCCTGCGGGGCTGCCCCACAAGGCTGAGCACTCGCATGTTCTCCCTGTGGCAGGGGGCC